TAGAAAAATGGTATCACTGTTGATTGCCACAGTACAGCTGGAGCTAGTGTTCAATGGAGTTGTCTGCCAGCTATGTAGGTCAGACCATGATAGAGCCTGAAGCAACTAGAGGTGGGAAAAGAAAACCCAATCCTAGAATGCTGAGAAGTTTTATGTATATTAAGAAAAATATAATACTATACTTCCCTCTGATTGGGACCTAGAGTTTAAATAGGATTGACAGCTACAATCAGATTTGTTTAATATCTCTCACTAACTTAACTTAGCGTAAATCTAGTCAGCATAGTGGATATTTCATAGGTCTTCCCTAAGCTTAGTCTAGGCAAGTTCAGCACAGGAGTGAGAAAGCTCACTGAGAAGTGGTCAGGTTTCTGTGCAGACCCACATGCATCTTACCAAAAGCCCCATAAAGAATCTAGCACATCTTGTTCTGAGTCATTTTGTCAATGAAAGATGCTCAATTTTAATAGAAAAGTGTTATACAACAGTGATAGCAAGAGCAATCAAACCAGACCAACAGCAAAGGAAACATCCCTAATAAATAAATCCCAGTTTTGTTCTTAAAGTGAAATGATTATGTTAACATGATTTCAATAGCATCTAGTTTCTAGAATGTAGGACTCCAGAATGGGTGAATTTATTTGGTTTCCTCAAACAACTGAATACTGCTAAAGAAGCAACATCTTCTTTCATTTCCCTGTGTAATTCATATCATTAATGGAAACACACAAGTGTTTCCTCCTTGATACAACATCTGCTATTAGAGTTTGTATTTTTAAATGCATGACTAGTAAAGAGAATGTAATTCAGACAGCTGGATGACCCTGTGCAAAAGAACTACTTGCAATTACAGGTAGCAATTGATGGGAATTACTTGCATTTACATTCAATACCAGTATGTTATCTTAACATTCTGCCACTGTCAATCACAGTGAATAAGATTTCCATCTGTTGACTAATCTCTTTAGGCTTTCTAGGCAGAAAGGACATTTGTGCCTATTTATAACTGATGCAATCACTAATAAGAGCTTAAAGTTTCTTTGGACTGGCTATGTTTGAAGATGCACTGATAATAAGTGAGAACTCCACCTTCATTTTCTTCCTCTGAAGTGCCATGTTGCTGTAACTACATTTTCCTAGAGAGGCCTCCCCTCCCTTCCTTTTGCTAAACAATCATCTAATTTATTTGAGGGCTTATTTAAATTGCTAAACACTGACACTGGAATTAGTTGGAAAATAATTGACTAATAATTGGAAAATATTTTCAACTTATAGCCCTATCCTTGTAATAGTTCAAAATCCAGTCTGGGATAAACCATGACTCCTACTTTAGATGCAACCTCATTAAACAGGATTGACAAACAGCACAGAAGGCTTTAAGAAATGCCTACCAAGTGTTGATGAAAGCCACTAGCATTCCTGATGACAGTGGCTCAAGCAGGGGGACTATGGCCCTGTTCAGTGCACGACACGTAATGTCTAATACCCAATATGCAATACGCAAGTATAACCTCTTTGTATAAGCAAGCTAGCATGCTGTTCCCATTCTGTGAGCTGCAGTCTAAGCAGTTCCCAAAGCAGATTTCATGGTAATTCTTGTCAACACAGTTTTTTTATATCTCTGCTGAAAACAAAAGTAGTCAGTCCCCTAGGACAAAATAAATGTATCTATCTACAGAGTTAATTCATTGCTAGAATACTGGTAAATCATCAGAAAGATGTTCCTACTATGACAGTGAAAGAAAACAAAAAAAAAAAATTGCTTGATATAACCATATGATCGTTCAAAGAAATGGCACTCAGCCCACCTTTTCTCCCACTTGCAAACTAAAATTAATAATTCATCAACATAGCTTTAAAATTCATTGTTTTGTGAGATAATACTCCTGCTTATCCAAGTGGCAGCCAATCAAAATGTAAATAAAGACAGGTTTAAGGACAGGTTTGAGTACAGCTCATTTTGGTTATGGTGATTGCTATCTCATAGCAGAAGATTTACTTCATACATACTTATTCTTTTTTTCCTGCTGTTCTCTGCTCAGCTCCTTGACATTTATATACAAGCATTTGAATTAATGAGAACAAAGTAAGAGAAGATACTAGAAAAAGAAATGGGACATACCAGGAGATTTTCTGGCTTGATGTCTCTGTGCACAATGTTGAGACCATGAAGGTATTTCAGTGCACTGGCTAGATTGTAGACCATTGCACTCCCATCTCGCTCTGTATATTTTGTAGAAGAAGTGATAGCATCAAATAGATCTCCTCCCTAAGTAATGGAAAGGTAGTAGATTACTACATGAAAAATAATTATGATCATGGTATTTTATTTAAAAAACTGCGTAAAATCTTCCTTTACAAAAGGCATGCTCAAATGTCTGTTCAACAGTAAAAAAATAATTTTGTGGAAGGATGATCTTGTCACCAAGATACTAGACTGGGACTTGGGTCATCTAAGTTAAATTCTCAACTGTACTCCAGGCTTTGAGTTTGGGCAAACCACAGCTCTTCTCTGTCTTGATTTCATTCTATTGATCTTCTTACCTTTGATCACTCATTCATATTACACGCAGGTATGGGCATACAGCTTCCCTTTTCTTCATCTTATCAATATAATACCTTTACATGGCAAAAAACAGCCCTGATTCTGAATAAAGCCTAAAGTAATATAATTACTCTAATAATAAAATGCGTAACATAACAAATATTCACCAATTGTAATGAACTGCAAATTGGAATTTCTGTAGATATTGCAGAAATATCAAATAAATATAGCTGAAAAGGACAAACAACATAAGCATGATATTTTCCAACCTAAATGATTCTATGATACACCAAAGTGCAGAACCTACAGGTGATTTCTGAACGTGCAGTCTCTGATTATGGATGCCTTATTCCTCTTGGAATATACAACAACATGTAAACGAGTTACTGATGCAGCATTTCCAGTCATTGCAACAAATTTTACGTGGGTGTCTCTATGATGGTTACCCTGGATACATCTGTAGGAGTGATCTGTCTGAGCTGTGGGTGGCATTCCAAGCATTTCAATACACATGGAAGAGAAGCAGCAGGAGATACAGGCCAAGATGGTGGTGTATTAAAATATATTTAAAAATACTGTCTTAAACCCAAAAAAGCTTCTACTATATAAAAATAACTTCTAGAAAGGAAGAGAAATGGGTAGACTACAGAAATTATGAATTCAACAACTACACACTTTCTTTAGAGGTTTCCCAGGCTGGCAAAGATTCTAGAGGGGTGTCTCAAATCTAACAATGTTTCAGACAGAAATAAAAAGTGATTATGATGATGATATACATTATTTGTATCTGACATGCCAATCAAACTGATGTGCGGTGTTGCTGTTATGTACACAACACGAACGAGAGAGTGCATGACTAAAAGCTGATGAAACTTATGTATTTGGTTCACAGGGGGACAGCAAAATGAAGATTTTTTGTTTTCTGTCTACACGTATGAAAGCAGAATCTATTTTCTAGTGGAATTGGAAATAAGGTGAGTGAATGTTTGGTATAAGCAAAACAGGTAAGATTTTTTTGTTTTAATTTTGGTGGACCATAATCACTTGAGTTTAAACTATTAAGTGTATCTATTGTCTACTAAGATAAATTCATGAAAGAGAGTTTGTTTCTTTAAAGAAAATTATTAAATAAATATATTAGTAAAATAAATGCAGGTGTTCTGTCTGTAAACATATATCACTATTATCCCTGCATATTGTAAACATGATATAAAAACCACTATCCACTTCTCTCTAGACTGCGCACATTGCAAAATTACCTCAGATCTGTGTAATTATCTACTTACAACTGAAGGGACATAAATTCCATTAATACAACTGATTGACAAGAGTATTTGCATGATTAAAAATGCAGGTTGCCATTGAAATCTTATCTGATTGTGTCTCCCAAGACCTTAATGTTCCTAGATTCTCAGATTTCACAACAACACAGAGAATTTAAGAGGAAAAAAAGAGTCTCCTTAGTCTTAACCTTGACTAGCTCCATCACCAGATAGAGTTCTGCTGGGGTGTCCATTTCCTCTATAAGCATAATGATATTTGGATGCTTCACTCGACGCAGAATAGACACTTCATTTTCAATCAGGTGTTCCTGTTCAGAGAAGAGGACAGAAGTTTATCTGAATATACATGAAATTCCCAATTCACTTTTCCTTTGATCAGCTAACCACTGATCACTCAATCAGTAGAGCACCCTTTTTGCTGTTTAATTTATATAGTAGGGGATTATTGACAGATGCTGGATTTTAACTTGGATTTTAACCCAACTGTGCTTCATCACTTACCAAATTTAATTTAAAAAACCCCCATATTTCACACACATAACCAATGGGATATCTCTGAAAAAAAGAACCCAGAACATGACAGGAACTCAGGAAATGCAGCTTATATTCTTATGTGGGTATTATGAGGTGAAATTAAGTTCAGAACCCCCTCGCCAGATCATTGTAACCTGCCACCCCCATCAATAGTTAAAATGTTATTGATCCTCTTCAGCCGTCAGCTCTCATTTAACATAGGTTACTCAAGGACAGATTACCTAGGATTTATTTTCAAGGACTTTATTTTTTAAAAAAGTTGTGGATTACATGGAAAAATATTATAACTTCTTTGGTTATGGATTTCAGTTCATTTTATATGTATGTTCAGATTTACAATCTGCAAAGTATGTAATAGCTCAGTTAAGTCGTGGCTCCAACAGCTTGCCAGCACACAGATACGAGTTTAATTTCCCCTTCCCTATACTTCTGAAGAAGTAATGGGTTTCAAGAACAATTTAGTTTCAAAATGCTTTGTTTTCTAGAACATCTTCGCACTTGGTTAACACTGGAGAGCGAAGAAAATTAACATGCCCCTTTCATGTGAAGAATGATTTGCATTTTCCTTTATAAATATTGGAATACAGATATTGTGTTTAGATTCACTGCAAAATAAGTAACAATGCTTGCATAAAACACTAGTTTCCTTTCACTTTGGCAGATAACAAATCTTATCACTGGACGTGGAACTTATTCATGTTTAACACACTGATTAGTAGCATGCACTTCATGCATTTGTGAGCAAAGCAGTAGAAGTAGATGTGATCTGCTGTGCATAGGCAGTGACTGAAGATCTTACGCTACTTCACCTCCTATTTCCAGGATTATTTATGGATGCATTGTGTTTTTGCCAAAGCTTTATGTGGCTATGTAACTCAGAAACCACATGCCATGTGTGCATCTCATTTCGTGAGAGTATGGTGCGGCAGATATGGGTTAAACAGTCACACCTTTGAAATTCAGTTTGAAAGAGCATCAATTGTCATTCTGAACAAACATATGTCTGCTCCAAGCAAAGTGCTCTGGAGGAAAAAAAACAAACAAACATGAAGCAATTTTGTTAAACACAATGCTGAATCTCATCAACAGACAAAAGTGAACAGCCACAGCATACTAAGCCTTATGGATGGAAGCCTGTAAATTCAAAACTAGCATTAAGAGTCCAAGCAAAAACTACAATCTTATTATAGCTTTTTCTACCTAAAGAACAGATAACATTAAATTTATTACATCCATTAATTAAGACTAAGGTACTATAGCTTTACCTGTGCTTTCTTTGTTTCACTTGACCAGGCATATGTAATGTTTATTTAAAATAAACATTTTTTTTTTTAAAAAAAAAAGTCTCCAAAATGTCGTTGTGCTATTGGTCTAATAAGAGTCCTCAAAATGATGACTAATAGTTAGTTATTTTCAACCACCCCACTGTTTCTACTACATTTTGTCTTGTAAAAAAATAATAATTCTCAAACTTGTTACAACATTCTCTTGGATAGTGCAATACAGATTTTAATCTACATTAATATTATTTATTTACAGAGAAATTATTGTATAATTAATATTTAAGCCACCTGTGGGAAACATCACTCAAATTAAAGTTTTAGAACATCCAAAATAAACTGCTAGAGAGCAACATACAAGTCATGCATATTTGGGCCAGATGGGTGTTTTTAAGGCAGGGCTTATGTTGGCATGTGAAACTGAGTAAGGAAGGAGTAAGTTGTAGCAAAAATTGAATTATTTTCTTTGTTGGAATTCTTCCTGGACAGTTCTGTCACTGGCCTAACAGGTATAAACATCATCTTAACAAGAGTCCTCTGCTTGTACATACACATACATCTGTATGTAGCTATACAGACACAGGTCCTTTCAAAACAGATAAGCGTGCATCCATGCAGTTGAGTTTTTTTAGTTTGTTTTAAAGCAGTGTGAACGATACATAGAAAATATGTCTACACTCTGCTGTATGAAGTGGATTGTCTATCTCTAGACCATTCCAATTTATGATACCTAAGCAGCTGATTCAGGCAAGTAATAAAAAACATCTAAAGTTGTAAGCTGTACACATCACCCAAAAGTTTTCTTTTGCAGTGAAACACACTGGGTCGCCCTTCCCACAGCCAAAGAAATAGCAACATTTTAATCTCAAAAAGGCAATTCTAGTACTTTTTCTTGTGGTTATACAGTTTGAAGATTCCTTCCTTAATTTTTCCTTAAGTAAACGTAGAAAATATATAAAGTGATGAGGAGGCGGGAACACTCATCGCCTAGCACCTAATACACAACTGAAAATCTGCATAGATAAAACATTTCTGTTTGAGGACCTCTACTTAAGGCAAATCATCACAGCAGGTAATGTACAGCTCCTTACCCTACAAAGAATGTCATACAGACTTGCTACATCTTCCCACAAAGTCACATTCAGCATCTGGATCTCTGAATTACACTTCAGAGCAGTTACTCTATGTAACCAACAAAAAGGGTACCTTTAAATTAAAATCCTGACTTAGTTGTAAAGTTACCTCCAGAATGATTTCAGTGCAATCATTTACATAAAAAAATAAGGTGTTTCCATCAAAAAGTTTATCTTTTCAGTCATCCTTGAGAGAATGGTATATTTCCTACTCTTTGAGAGACTTGAATCCAGAATTTGATTACTAATTAATACTGTACCCTTCGTGTTCTTTTAGCCAATGCTAAACTGTGATCCATTTGATTCATAAGTTCGTCAAGAACACTTTGCAAAGCAGTGAAAATAGAAGTATTTTATGTGTTATCTATTCCAACACTTAGTCTACTTTCTTGGCCATAGGTTGGGGGTTTTTTTCTTCCTTTTTAAAAATCTCCGTATTTGGGAGAAAGGTGAAGATGATGTCTGACACTCTGATATTTGCTTCGATTATGTAACATGCTGTTCTGCTAAAGCGACAATTTTGCATTTCTTTTTTTTTTGAGCTTGAATTAAAAAGAAAGTTCAAGGAACTCTTTTGTTAAGAGATCTTTGTTATACAGGATGATGAAACTATATAAACAGAAAGAAATGGTTGCAAAAATTTCTTTCCAAATCCATGTTCTGCATATAAAAGGAGCATGCACAGCCATAAAAAGATAAAAATAAGAGGGAGAGAGGGATGGGGATTATATAAATACACATATAGCTGCAAATTTCCTCTCTCATTTTACAGATCAAAATCTTTCTAATACATTTTGGACACATATTAGCATTTTCTTTGTTAGTCCAATAAAACAGATGACAATTTGCTTGTTTGTTACTCTATTATCTAGCAGACTAACACTCACTAGTTTTATTATTTGCTTCTTGGATACATTATCATCCTGTTAAACAGATATTCTGAAAATAGTGAGAAAACCCAAACACACCCACCATTTATGACTAACGAGCAGCTGCTAGTGCTGTTTCTGCTATTTTTCTTACACATGCAAATTGTTGTACGCTACCTTTCCACAGCATTTAGCCTTGTCTATGATCTTCAGTGCAAACTCCTTTCCCGTGGATCTAACAAGAAAAATATGAGAACCATTAATTAGAAACTGGTCAACAAATTGTGGCATTATCTGTAAGAATATACATCGTAACAGAATACCTTGACCCATGGAGGTTGCTGACAGAAAATTCACAGAATAGACTTGATTTTGTTGCTTTCTCAGCAGCATTTGTGCCTGCTGTTTCCCTGACTACCACAACCTAGGTCACTGTGTATTAATCCCAGGCTCCAGCTGCAATTCATTCTTCTGACACCTGGCACAACTCTCTGTCACTTTAATGCAACATGCAAAATTTGTCTTGAACCTTCCACTTAGCTTTGTTCAACTGGTAGGCTTTAAAGATAAAATCATACACATTTAGGTGTAGGTGAGCAGAAGAAAGATTGATACTCTAATAGAAAAATTCAATAGGATTCAGCAGAGCTGAAATCCCATAGTTCATTACAGATTAGTCTAAAATTCTGCAGAATTTATTAGGCACTAATATTAAAGTTTTGTATTTCATTCCTTCTTTATTTTTTAAGTATTCTATGGAATTCTACAGCAATCATCTAAAGTCCCATGACATTTAAGAGGGTGGTTATGTACAAAGTAAAAGGTATTAGTGTTTTCAGTAATTACTCTCACAGAAAAGAGCTCTTGTTTGCCTTTCATCCCTTTAAGCAATAAAAATCTTCTCCATTTCTCTGGAAGGGGAGAAAATGAGAGCAAAAAAGCAACACAAATGATGAGAGCAAAAAAGCAACATGAAAAAATTATCTTCTTTTTTTAAAAAAAAGATGACATTACTACTTATATAAATGATGAATTAAAAAATCACAAGAAAATGCCATAAGATGCTGTTGCTACTATCTTGTGTTGCATCAATACCTGCAGGCTCCAGTGTGCATCAGAACACCACTAGCTATATGGTAAAAAACACTGGAGGCAGTTACAAAAGCAAGTCAGGCATGTTTTTAAACTTCCAGGTTAATTTTCACTATACTTTTGGCATTAGATACAACTGGTCAAAATTAGTACCTTATAAAAAAAGGAACTGAATTAATGTCTCACATTAATTTTATCCATTATTGAAAAAATGCAGCAGAGAATCTCTGCTCTGAAAGTGCAGCTGTAGCTGCAAGGTTGTCATAGTTACAACCTGATCTGGTCTTTAGATAGAAGTGTTATCCAAATGGTATCTGTGAAATGCCATCTTCCTACATTATAGACCTGATGTAAAATATACTATGAATACAGTGTGTAATTCAGAATCACAATTTATGTGTTATACTAAATTAAGTGCATTATCTGAAAGCCTGCAAACAACTGATCAGCAAAACCCACTTAGTAAACCTTCGGCACTTACACTGTGTAGAATGAAGAGTTAATACTCACAAAGCCAATTCATCAACCAACTTCAAATCCCTCTTGCAAATGCCCTTTACTATAGCACCTAAGAAAAACCCTGGATATCATCCACGTAATTTGTGTGCTAATACCATTGCCTATCATACAGCAGTATTGTCTGACAGGTTTCTAGTATTCTTCTGTTTAGCTGTCAGTGTCCATCTGTTGATGCATGTCTGTATATACAGACAAATAAGCACCCTTTACAAAAGAGACCATCTTATTATTTCTGTAGAACAGCTGGTATAATAGAATCCTGGCTCCACAAGTAAGGCTTCTAAGCACACCACTGTTAGAAATGAAGTATGATAATTAATAGGAATTAAAAGACAAGCATTTATAGTTGGCATTTCTTCTCTCATTGTTATTATTAGCAACTACTGTTGTATATTTATTTTATATAAAATTAATTTAATAATGCTTCACTGAATACAAAGATTGGATCACATACAAAACTAGATTTTTAAGTTTAATTTTGCTTTTTTTTAAAAAATTAGAAGGTCATTTTTCTAGTCCAGTCTCCTCATTCCAAAAAGCACAGATGACGTTTTGTCCCATTTTCAGTGGAACTTAAGTGATTTCCAAAATGCACAGTCAATATTCCTGAAAATAATAAGTTATGTTATCTTATGCTTTTAACCTGTTACCTTTCACGAATGTTACTCACTCTATAGATAACAAAAGATGTGTTGCCAGTTTCAGGGTGCATGGGAAAACACTGTGAAGCATCATTCATTTGGTGCCTGTGCCAAAACTTCAAGGCCTAATGGGATCCATCTCTCCCAACGGGGAAAACCCATCTTTGGGCATAAGCTGGCAGGGCTGATGGAGACAACTTTAAACCAGAATCAGTGGGGGAAGGGGATACCAACAGGATTGCAGGAGGTAAGCCAAGGGTTGGCATGGCATCGCCTGAGGGTGGCAACGCTAGTGGGAACATTTACACTGCTCCTGGGAGCACAGAAGGCTCAGGAGTGTATCTTAAATGCTTGTACACCAAGGCATGCAGCATGAGAAAAAAAACCATGATGAACTGGAAGCATTGGGTCGCTCCCAGAGCTACGATACCATTTGTTTTACTGAGACTTGGTGGAATGAGTCCCATGATTGGAGTGTTGGGATAGAGGGCTACAGGCTGTTCAAGAAGGATAGGCATGGCAGGCAAGGTGGAGGTGTCGCACTATAAGTAAGGGAGAGGTTGGAGTGTACAGCCCTTTACGGTTAGTGATGATGTGGTTGAGAGCCTCTGGGTGAGGATTAGGGAGATGGAAAAGAAAGGAGATGTTATAGTGGGTGTCTACTACTGATGACCCAGTTTGTAGGACATAACTTCTTGTCACAGGTACTCAGTGAGCCAACTAGGAAAGATGCCCTGCTAAACTTTCTGTTTGTGAGCAGAGAAGAACTTTTCACAGGGCAGTCAACAAGCTTGGCTGAACAGAGAACTCCTTGTGGAGCTAAACAAGAAAAAGAAATTGCATGATCTCTGGAAGCAAGGTCAGGCTTCGCAGGAAGATTACAGAGCCATGGTTTGTATATGTAGGGAGAAGACACAAAAGGACAAAGCTCAATTGGAGTTGAAACTGGCCAGTGTCATTTCAGATAACAAAGGCATTTTTAAGTATGCTAATAGCAAGAGGAGATGTAAAGAAAACATTGGACCAATAATTGTTGAAGATGGTCATCTGACTAATAGGGGTAAAGAAAAAGCAAAGTCATTCAATCTGTTCTTTTTGCACCAGTCGATAGACCTTGGGCTGTCCAGTCCCCTGAGTCATAGGACTACAAGTGTGGGAACAATGACTTTCCATTTGTAGACATTGAAATTGTAAGGGACCAGCTGTATCAGCCAAATGTTCACAAGTCCATGGGGTCTGCCAATATTATTCTCAGTAATGGAGAGAAATAATCCAGATACAGTATGAAGAAACAATTCTCTTGAGAAAAAGCAATAATGGCTGCAGAAAGTTATGGACTGTAAGATCCATTCACCTATGTTTCAGTAAAGGAAGCCCCAGGTTCAGCCTCAGTACCCAACCCTTTCAGCCCATTTGGGTGACTCAGCAAAAATATCTATGATCTGCTAAGACTGGAATAAGATGTTTCCATTCATAAATATTTTTCTTTTCATTTAAATAAAATCAGAAGATGAGGATCAAGTAATAGAAACTGTTTCTGTAACTTTTAAGGTTTTTACAGACATTTGCTGAATTTACCCAATATTTACATACAAGTTGGAGACTCATAATATTTAAGAAGCTGACATAACTCTCAGATTGATGAAGATAACAGAAGGTGGTTCTAAAAAATACACTGAGAAAGCGACAGTCAAATCATCTGTCACGTTTGCACTAGCAGCAAAGTGTGACACAAAGCTTGCAGAGGAAGAACAGTTACGCAGCACAGGTTTGTAAAGGTATCCTGTCTTCCCCATGGGAAATCAGGTGCAAGAGTATTTCAGAGTCTGGAATATTAAAGGGTTGATTTGAAAAGTCTCTGGCTACTCACCGCACTACCTCACAGAAGAAGCAAGCACAAGGGAGTCAGTAGCACAGGCTAATAGCCACCAATTGCATGCCTTTAAGAATACTTTGCCCACAGTATACTGAAAACTGTGACAAATCATTTAAGCAGCAGGCAGTAGGGATACTATAGCAGCAGAATTGCTGAGGCAGAAGGGGGGGTCTCTCAAAGACTGTTTAGATGCCACATGCAATTTCCTGCCATCCACAACAGTCTGTTGTGTGAGGGGATTTCTTGAAGATCTGTGGGGTTTCCTTAAGAGCCTCCATTAGAAGGTGATACCTTGTTTAGTTTTTGGGATAAAAAGGCATGCTCCTCTGCTGCTTACATGTCCCTTTGCTGCAATAATACATAGGAAGCTGTGTGTTTTGCCATGCTGAGTTCTCCTGAAGTGTGGGCATATCTTTGCAACTAACTGCTCTTTGCTTTCATCTCATCACATTTTCTATGAAATTATGCTAATACACAGGGCTTTATCCAGTAAAATAAACAGCAATACTGAAAAGTTTCCTTGCTCACCGTTCTACGCACTCCTTTACAACAGCAAAATTGCCATCACCAATCACCTTCCCCACTTTATACTTCTCAAGAATGGTAGATGACCCTAGGCACTTGTTTCCATTCACACCTGCAAAAAAGGTCAATAATGCAAGCTGAAGAGAAGTGTCAGCAGGATGTAATATATCCCCAATGGGTTCCATAGACACAGAACAGTCACAAACGCAAAACAAAACTTACAAGTAAGCTGTTTTCTTCACAGCTTATTCCCTTGTTTTTATCTCAAACATAAGAACAAGATAAGGACTAATCAGAGTTGTTTAACCTTTTAACACACAAATCAAATATTACTAAAGCAATGAATGCAGTTAGAAGTCCTTAGTCTAAATATTTTCTGCTCAGAATACTTTTTTTGAAGTATCTTTTTGCATACTCAAAGCAAAAATGCAAATAAGATTCATCTACAATGCATGTAAAAGAACCAGAAGTTTTATCTGCTGAATTCCTTCATGTTCCCTTAGCTGCTGCTAAAACATTGAAAATGCAAATAAGGTTGACAACTGCTTATTTCAGTATTTTTAAATTAAAAAAATTACTCTAAAATGATATTTTAAAATAATTACAAAAATAACATTGCTTTAAAGAGATAAGGAATGAAAAGTTAAGGTTAGCTAAGGTCAGTTGATGGCCTAGTAGTTCTACCTGAAGCACAACATGCTGTTTTGAGGAGGGCTCCGCTTTCAATCCAGCCACAAACACATTTCTGGTGATACGCTGCAGGTCACGTTCAAAATCACTGAAATTCCTAATAGTGACTATTGAAGAGCAGGGTCCACTAATGTACTACCACTTGATAGAAAAAAGAACAAAATTGATTTCCTAGCTTTACTGCCTTGATGTAGAAAATGCAATAACAATTTTTCCAAGATAAGGTTGTCAACAAGGTATCAAACATCTCAGAATAAAAAAAATGATTTGGAGTCATCAGAAACCCTCTAAAACTGCTAAAACAATTGTCACAACAAAATTTTTGCAAAGATTGTTAGCAATTATTGGTGTCCTACCTTCGGGACTCTGGCAATTGAGTGATTCAGGTACACCATTCACATTGGAAGAAGATCCACCATGTGGAGGTATCTATGGAAATATGTAAGAACTTAATATTTCTGATGGTAACCACGAGGAGGAGCCAGACAAAAAGCAGCAAAATAAAAAAAAAACCCCACAACCCACCCTAAAGAGTCAGTTTACTTTTCTACTCCCATCTTATTTTTATCCTTGCTTTCTCACAGTTCATCATCATTATAATACACCATTGTCCCTTGCACCAATTTAAGATTCCGCCTTGATATTCCTATTTAGATAAATGATTGAACAGATTTCAGTAAACAGCAAAGAAAATTCCCTCCAGCCGCACCAAGTTCCATTTAAGCACTATAGAGCCAGTGTGTGTGGAGGCAACACTCCCTCCTCATTCTTCAGAACAAGACCATTACGATATGCTCTGTGTACATTTTCATGTGAGCCAGAGACAGTCATCTCCAGACAACTATTCAGCAGCCAGTGCAGGAAGCACGTGGTCTCATGCTGCAGTCTAACACATCTCTTCATAGCTAGCACTGTCTGAGGTTTCCTTAACTGAACTCTGTCCATATATGCTCTCTTTAGATTAGCACTGAAGCATGCTAGGAAGGTAATGTAGAAATGCTTGCATGGCCCTACTAGTTTTCAATTAAAGAAAAGAATTTTGGCATAGGTGGCTGAGTACATCTACAATGGTCAGATTTGCTTGGTAATCTAGTGGTCTATGGTTTAGGTTGTTACGGATTTATGACATCTACAAGCATTTCAAGTTAGATGTCTGATATGCATCCAGACACAGATCCAATTTTAGTAACTGTAACACAAACATCTAAATGATTTTGAAGGATGAAGCCAGAAGAAAACTACTTTTGCTGCACTAACAACTTAATTGGTACTCTATCTGAATCTTCACAATTCTACTTAAAGTCATCCTGTCATACTGCCCAGGGACATGCACAAGAATCAATTTTTATTTTAAAAAGGGGCAGGGGCATAGGAATGAATGCCATAACTAGTAAAATGTACTGGATGTGTTCTATGCACCACTGTTTTATAAGTGCTCCCATTACAATTAAATATAAGGAAGCTCTGTGAAATTAAAATATATTGTAAATCATTCCACCTTCTCTACAAAACATTTCTTGCTGTTTCGTTAAGTTCCATATCTTGTTTTCTTCATGGGCTATTATAGTTCTCACCACTCACCACATAAAGGATTAAAATGCTTCTCTGCCTTAAGCTCAGTGTCTGTTGAAATGGCTTTGCATGACACCAGGAATGCAAATGCAGCATTTTCCATTTTAGCTGACATTGTCTGGTTACACTGCTGAATATTTTAAATCATTAACACTATTGTCAATGAAAGAACTGAACTGACAGATAGGGATATTGTCTAAAGGCTCATGAAATGCTAATGAATGCTTAAGTTTCTTGTGGCAGCTGAGCTGCCAAATCAGCTAAAGGTACAGTAACTAGAAGCTGTACAACTTTATTTTGCAGAGCCCCTAAAACAATGATGTTTACTAGAATTTGGCATAGAAGTAACATCAAACAGAAACCAGTCAGCTACTACTCTGCTCCTTGCTAATAACTTAAAACCAGACTATGTTAATGCTGCTATCTTTCTGAGTTATCTGTTTACTTAACAAGGATGAGAAACAAGGACATTTGGGTTAAATGGCATTTGTGCAAAATTACGAGTCAGTCTCTTAACCAGTAAGTCACATTTTCTTCAAGCATGAAGTGGAGATACCAGAACAGATCACTCCAAAGTATTAGTCATCAGCCAAAAATATTAATAATCTATTTTGGCTTTTTAGTAAGTGACAATACATGGGAATACCTAGCTCACATTTCCAACTTCCTTCATCCTTGTCATCAGCTCAGAGCATGACAGGGCACATTCCTTCTTACCACAGTATTTACAAGAAGGAAGCAAACAGCAACAGGAAAAAAGCTAAAAGGAATACGTAAAGGAAAAAAAATCTAATGCTGCTGTTGTGGCTGAGGTGCTAGATCAGAATCTGAAACGGCAGGTCTAATCTTAGCTCTGCCACTAATTTTCCTTGTGGCTCTAGACATGAGGCTAAACGCACTCTACAACAGAGCTTGCCTGTAATTTGGATACTGTAGGTCTGTGTCTCAGTTCCCCAGCAGCAATTCGTTCCCTACTGTGTCAGAGCACAGTAGAAATAAACTCTTAAGAGGTTTGCAAGGTGCTTGACTTGCCAGAAAAGGCAGGGAGGAGGTAGGAATTGACAATAAGCAACACTGAATAAAGTGATATTTATTATTAAAGTAATTTTCTACTCATTTAACTACCCAGTGACATGTAATATTTAGAATACCTTGTACTGTTGGTATCCCAACAGTGGCAGGTACTTTGAAGGTGAAGTAAAGATTTTAGAAGTGCAAGTAGACTTGACTGGGGTCATTTAGGCATTCCAGCAAGGAGAAGAGAAAAGGAACCATGTTGCTTTGATACTACACTAGTGAATATGGATGGCATCTACAATCACAGCACAGATTAGGTTTTGCAACAATTCCTCCTCCTGTATTCTAGTCCACACAGCGCTACTGCTCTCTTCTAATACTGTTCCCCTTGCACATGATAAATTCAGAATGCACAGGTCTTAAATCCACCCTCACATACAAATGCAAGTCCTAGAAAACTCAGACCTGAGGCAGAATTTGATTCTTTGTTTTTAAAAGCTCAGAGTAATTTAGAGTGGCAATGGCTATCCAGCCCTTCGAAAACAATCGCCTCAGAATGTAGATGCTACTGGCCAAGAACATCTTACGCTGACAGGCACTCCTGTTGCATTTAAACACAATACATAATATAATAATCATTGCTTTCACTTCCCTTAAGTTGTCTCCCCACAGGTAATTTGTGTTTCAACAGCACATTCAGAGCCAAATGCACAACACAAGAGATACTGAGAATATGTCAGTGAATACACAGTTCTCAAAACTAGTTGCATATAATTTTACAGACTAATTAAAGATGCTATAAAAAGTTACAAAAGTTACTGGGCTGAAAAAAACCTGCCCAACTGTTTTGTCTTCTTCACATGCTGAACTATTTTCTGTGGAATAACCATTTTTCCAGGTTCACAAAAATATCTAAACATATTTCTCTATATTTTATATTATTTTATACAGACTGTGACTTAAGCCACCAGGTTTATCAACATGACACGTAGTTTTATGAGAAACATTCACATTCGATCTGTCATATCCATAAGCTTAACACACCTACTTTAGTACCCAGTGTGCTTATTACACCTCAACAAGGTATTACAACTAAGGAATGGGTATTTAGCATTCTTCCTTTCACCCCTACTAATATCCAAACCCATTAAAAACTCTGTTTTATACTTTGCATTGTAGGATTTTATTTTATTTTTTTTTACTATCTGAAGTATCCAATGTACAATGGTATAATGTGCCAGACAGGTACATCCTGCTAGATACTGTGTGTGTCAGGATTTCTACTTTCAAGTTAACGATAAGAAATTGAAAGCATATGCACAAAAACCCCAACACCCCCCCCCCATAAAAGCCTTTAAACCATCACAGAGTCCAAGAGCATAGTAAGAAAGAATAAGACAGAAACATTGTATTTTTTAAGTGATACTTGAACACTGCTAGTAACCCAACTATACTGAGGACCTACCTGTAATAATACAATAGCCAATTAAAATGTAGTGATTTTGCTGGCATTAATTTGAGCATACATGGTATGGCATATAAAGTCATGCATTTTGTTGCACTGCTCTGGAAACACTGAAGAACCACATAAAGGTTTACCCTTTTTCTAAAGAGATTTTGAGCTGCATCACATTATGTAAAGCCTTTAGCAAACTGATAACAATGGTGAACGGACTTAACACCAGTCCAGCACAAATTAGTCAGCTCTTTTTATCTACTGTGTGAGCAAGAAAGATGCTGAATTGTAAATTCAACAAAGGCAGCAGTTAAAGAATTCCTCTAGGAACTGCTATTCACCTGTGTCAGTAGGTTGGATAACTGCATGTAAATATTCTTAACATATAACTGCTAACAGAAGCACATGTGTACAAAACTGAAGAGATTAAACCCTTGATGAAGATAGGCACTAATCCTTCAAATCACTTAAGCACATGTTTAACTTTAAGTACATTAACATCCTCATTGAAGTAAAAGGGACTAGTCAATAGCTTAAAGTTAAACAAGTACTTAAGTTATTTGTTGGATCAGGTTTTAATGCCCTTTCACTTTGGTCATTTAGTCAATCAATCGAAAAAGTAATACTGAGACAAATTCAAACACAATGCTATTTAGCACAAGTGGGATTCTAAGAAAGGCTTGGACTGGCACTAGCTTTAATCTCTATGGAAAAGGGAATAGAAAAACAAGAAACTCAGCACATTTGCTCAAAAAGAGCATCATACAGAGTTACAGTACTTGTTAACTTTTATATATAAATCTTTACCTTGAAACAAACCGTCTGCAAAGTGAAATGCTTAGTAACAGCGTAAAATTGTGACCTTAAAAATAAGCAACTTTACTAAGAATGCATAGTAGCATGCAATGGTATACATGTTTGTCCCTTCCTGGAATAAAGGCATTTATCAGGAATTGTGGGAAAATTCTGTAGTGTTTACTATTCTTGAGCCATAGCATAAATTCCTTAATGCAATATAATCTCATACTCAGCACAATTTTTTTAAAACACTTCTGCAAGAAGAACAGAAGCAAAGCCCTCCTCTTAAAAGATAAGCTGTTCATGAGGAGGCTTTCTTGCAAGCAATTTTCTGTGCCTGACCATCATACCACTTCTGCTTATAAAATGTTGTGAAGCAGAAGGAATCCTTGAGGACCAAAGAGACTTCACTTTAAAGGAAAAGTGGCATTTGGAGAATATGATGTAAGACTCAATGTCTGAGGCTGAGGAAAAATTTGGTGTTGCAATCAGTACCTTTTGCAAGTTTACTGCCTTGATGACTAGTACTATCACTTAAGCTCTATGATGTTGATCGTCTAACTTCAAAAAGCTTAGCCAGGTTCTAATTTATAGTCAAATATTTAATTTTGCTCTGGCTTTCTGAACAACACAGTTCTTAAAAAGCAGTTCATGTGCAGCTGCTCCAATAGTCTGCTCTTTGCAGGAAGTAGAAAAATCATCGCTGATTTGTTGCCTTTTCCTGCTCCTCCAAGCTCCTATAAAACCATTCTTAAAGTGTTGCCGTTTCATGTTCTACAAAAATAAACATACATGACTTCTACACAACAAATCAGCCAAAATATTGCATTTCCAAAGCCAGAAAACTCAGAAATATACTTTATTCTTTCACTGCCTGCCATGGTATTTATATCTACATTTTCATTCAGCTGTAGTCATGGAACCTTCTTTATGAGTGCAGGAAGCCAGAGTACTTGTCTGCACAGCAACATGGAATTATTTAACAATAGGGAAAAGCAGTAATCTCAAAATAATAAATTGGTCCCTGCTTTCCTTATTGGACTGGCCAAGATCAATTCTACAAAAATAATAATAGGTTTCTTAAAAGAATCTAGTTTTGCGTAAAGCCATGCCTCCCTGTTAGTGTTTTTACGTTGAAATTTCATCAAAAGAGTCACTACTACGAGAACATAATCAAAAAACAAGGGTCACAGCACAGTGCACTTGATCCTTTTGGTATTTATCCTGAGATTCACTGGATAACTTTCCCTATCTTTAGTCTCAGGAACCCAGCTGGGATCCTCCCGCTGAACAGATGCATCCTAATGGGATAAAAGAAGAGCTACTCGCTACTTCAGCAACACGTCAGGTCTGAGATGATTAATTTGTTTTTGCTGTTTCCTTTGGTCATATAGGGATGAATTATTTGACACAAAAACCCATTAGTATCCAGCATCAATTAAATTCCAAAACGAAAAAGTACAACAGCCTACTTCAGTGAAATTGACAGTAGAAAGAGGACATGTCCACTTTACTGAAAATTCCTTGTTACTATCAGAATTATCTCTGTCTTAATGGAGCTTTAATCGGCTAAAAGCAGACAGGACAGCGTGGAAAAAAATGAACCAAATTATCTAGTTTCTAAACTCGTAATTTCATTAAAGACAAAAGAGCATTTGTTAAATATAGTGCAGACCAGTTGATAGCCTCAAGTCCAACAATTTTGGTGTCATCTACTATAAGTTCTATAGCAGAGCTGTCCAGACAAATTTTAAGACACACAGTTCTAATTTTCAATGTCAGAAGTATTACTGCTCTTGAAAATGCTTTATAGGGGAAAGGCCAAGCTATGTTGCTTCGGACAAAGAGAAGCTATGGGATGGTACAGCTCAACAACATAAAGGCAGAGATCAACACTCAATTGCCTCAATGAATCAAACAACTAAAAATATATTAGAATTAAACAAATAAATAAAAATCTTTTCTCAGAATTATCACAGAAGCCTGGCAGCAACGAGTCATACTCCTCCCAAAACAGACAAAGCCTTTGTAACAATTAGCATGTCAAAACCCAAATCTAAATACTATTCAAATCACGTCCTTTAGCCAGTCTCTTAATTGAGAAAACAGTTTTCCACAGAATTATGCAGCCTCTTCACAACTGTTGTGTTCACCAATGGGAGCTATTACTTGATCAGAATAATCAGTGCGAACCATCCAGTGTGCTTCCAGAAAGGCTGCAATTGATGATTTCATAAGAAAATTCTCCTTGAAAGGGCAGCTGCATAAATGCAGCAGTAAGAAGCTCAACTGTGCTCCAGACTGTTCCTTTTATTTTACCAACTAAACGGCACAGAGCAGCCTCTAAGAACTGCAAATGCTACCAATTTTTAAGTGGGAGATGAAGAGAATTCTCTCGGTACAACACAGAGAAAAATCTGCCAGACGTCAGGCTGCTCCCAAAGGAACCCCTCACATGTTTTCAGACAGGAGATTGCATTAAGGGGTGAAATTGTGTGCCACGGATGAAGAAGAGTGCTTCAGATGAAATTTTGGGCAATGCTACGAGACTATAAGGTATCCAAAAGAGGATACTACATTTATATAGGTTGAGGGAATATAAATTACTTGGGGGGCTTCTGCAGCCCACAAAATAATTGAAAATTTGGAGGCCAAATTGGTGTATTCAAGCCACCATCACCCTCCATCTTTCCTAAGCTGAGAGTTCCATCCTGCCAACGAAAGACAAAATACAAAAATCTTACTTCAGATCTCTTCTCCACTTCAACTCAAAAATCATACTAGCAAGGCTGCCCTATAGAATTGTCTTTTTTTTTCCCCTTCTTTTTCCTTTTTTCTTCTTTAGCATCACTGCAACATATCATTCAACAAATAATGGAATTTAGGGGTTTTAATGGTTCTTGCACTTACCTTGAGTCCACGAAAGCTGCCTGGGCTTGTTGGTGAAGAACTGGAGGACTTTGTAGATTTTGGGGTGGATAATTGACTGCTTGGGGTTCCATTAACTGGCCAAAGCAATAAAAGCAAACAAATGAAAGAAAAGACAAATAAATCAAAAAAATATTAACTTGCTTTTAAACATCACATACCTCTCTGACAAGTTATCACTCAAGTCTGCATACAGAGACCAAAACAGACTCCCTCAGCATTTTGGAATAAATTATACGCTTGCATGCTACACAACTGTGCCCCCAAAACTCATGTGGCTGGATATGGGATCAAGACGACACACAAATATTGCATTGTCATTCTTGAGATTAAAAAGGCCTATTCTGTCCTTTGCCAGTGCAAGAGCTTTGGGCAAATTAATAGCCATAGCCTTTTAAAATTGTATTATTTATCGTGATATCCTCCCTCTGCTGAGGATCTTATTTAAAAGAGTTGCCTGTACATAGCTTTGCCAGTGTCTTCTGAGATCCACTGCACGTGAGTTGGTACACAACGGCAACAACAGTAAAAGCTGGAATTGGCCCTGTGTAGATGTAAAAATTTTGCATCTACAGGGAGTCATCCAAATGCTATTTCACACAGCAGTACTTTTTTTTTTGACCTCAAAAAACACACAAGCAATCTGTACTCATTTTTGGCACAAACTTGTCCACTGCTATTGATTTGCTGATTATTTCATGTATATGCAAAACTTACCTTATCTATTTTCTAAGTATAAGGTCTTTTGAGGTTTCTTTCGACATGTATAGCAGCTTGAATATACAGAAAACAATTTTCTTCTCTGTTGTTCTTTAAGTAGTAGACATTAGGCTACAACTCTTTAGCATATTGGAATGCTGAAAACTGAAAAACCTATGAATTTAAATTGTTAATGTCTAGTATGGTCCAAAGTTTCAACTTACTTGCTAGTCAAAATGCATGTTACTTGTTTTAGAGATACTTTCACTTTGAACCAAAGTGGTTCAAATAATTAAGTGAACCAAAGGTTCAAAGAGGTTTCTCAGTGTTTTAGAACTTAGGCTGAAATAACACAACAAAACAAAGGAAGGTAAGAAACTGCAAATAAAATTAAAAACTATGACACATGATTTTGCACTGCTTTTTTCAGCAACACTTACCCCATCTTTTTGCGCTGGCTGAAATTTTATATGCTTTAGAATACACATAAAAATGCATTGCTCCTCAGAATTCTCCTCTACTTGTCGTCGAATTATACCTTTACAAATTTAACTTTGACACCATTAGCAGATGTCGAACAACTATAAAGCATCATTTATATTATTTCACTCAAACAACCTACTTTAACAAAAAGCCTACACCTACTATGTCTCTGGTTCAACGAATGCAAACCGTCTGTTTCAAGCTTGAAAATATTCACAAATGCAGCGAAAAGAAGACAGGTAAATGGAGAGGGAGGAGACACACTAGTGATATACAGCCATAACAGTAATGGCTCACCTGGGGATTTTGCTGAAGAGTAAGCACTGGAGTAGTGGCCACCCCTCTTTACTGTACTCATATATTTGACACAAAGGAAAAAGACATTAAGGAAAGAAGTTATTAAACAGCTCTGAACATGCATGAAAGGAGGAAGGGTAAATAAAGATAAGTAAAGACTACATAAGAGAAAATGGCAAGTAAATAGAAGGATAAATACCAGACACTTTGGATAATTTTTTCAAATTAATCTAATCAAAGGGGGTGTCCAAGTAGAAATAAGTAAGGAAATGACAGCACTGATTTCTAAATACTTTGCATAAAATTCACTGTTGATAGATATCCCATGCGCTCTCATTGGAGTTAACAGGATTGCACAAAATGTAGATCAGTTGCTCTTCATGTGACTTTTTTTTTTTGTTGTTACTGTGATCCTTCTTTGAAGCTTTTCAGTTAAGTATTCAACCTTTATAAACAGATGATAAATATTCCACTTTGAAAGAACCCAAAGACATAAAATTACTTTAACCAGCATCAATTAAACACAACAAATTTTGATATGGAAATGAGAATATGGAACACGTTGCAGTTTTGAATACACATACAGGAGCATACATGTATAATTACATTCAAAATAGAGCATCATATATTTACATATTCAATGGTTTGATTTCAGGGCTACTTCTCCAGGTCTGAGGGGAAAAAAATAATTAAGTTTTATTGTATTTAGAAATTAAAGGCAGAGGTAAAAAAAGGAAAAAAGTAAGCTTCGCCCTTCTATTTATTTGCATTAAAGACTCAATGGTTGGAACATATGGTGTTCAGCCAAACTCCTGGCAAAACACAATGTGAATCTTTCTTTGAAATTACAGGAAGCACAAGAAGAAAAAAAAATTCTCTGTTAATGGGCAATAACATTCCAGAACATTTCCTAAAATTACTTGAAACAGCAAAATCCTGTATTTCAGACGGTATCTGGCTTATATAGGAGAAACCTTTCAAATTCGAAACACTTACGGGTATACTCCCATTCAATGAACATGAATTTAACCACATAACCATCCTGTAAGTTAATAGTCTTCAAGAAAATCAAGTGCCATGCTGAAAACATATCCCAAGTGTACAATTAGCACAAATTATTCCAATGTTCATAAACTGAAACTTTTTGTGCCTGTTAATTCAAAAATAGAAACCACATTTCTTTTCAGGATTCAAAAATAAATGCAAACTTTATTATAAATTAGTATTAAATCTATGAGACAAACTGAAAAAACATTTTTTCCCTCAGGAAACAAAGAATGGCACTTGTATTCCAGACAGAGCCAACAGTTTTTTCACGCCATTAAGCAAATTCTAACTTTCATGTATTTTACGTGTTCAGCTCTTTCCTAGAAGTAGTACCTGAGGCAGGTGATTTGCTTCGACGTGAAGGTCCTGGACTTTTGGACCCAGTTTGCCTCATGCCAGATGATCGGGAATAAGAGGACTTCATAACACGGCATTCTACAAAGCAAGCAGATAGAACATTGACAACAGTTCACTGTACAGGCTTCCTCCAAACACTACTGTTGCTGTTTATTATCCAGAAAATGAACATCAGTATTTTCTAAACATGCTTGCCCAACTGAATAAAACAAATTTATAAAAGCATCTCAGAACTTTAACCTACGTACCATATAAACATATTTGAGGTACTCAAATGCTGTATTACATTCTGCATGTAATATTTCTTCATGTCTTGAAGCTGGATCATTGCTATAATTCAAGTTTGTACCTACACGCAGCTGAAAGAGTAAAGTGAGCTGATGCCAAGGTTCCTCTGATAATTCAGTAAATCCTGCACACTATAATGGCAGCTTCACATAGGGCAACTGCACGGCAAGCAACATTCACCTTCTTTTGCGAGAAACTGATGGTGCGACCAGCTTTTAAAGAGGTGAAAAATGTCTCTTGTTTCCAAAAGGTTGAGACAATAGATTACTGCCATTTACCATCAGCTATATATCATTAAATAAAGGACAACCTAAATGGGAAAGGAATCAATAGGCATGCATGCATCGACATTTTGGAAACATTTTAATTCCTACAGTCAGCATCTACTGCAAATCACTCCCAATGGAATCACATAAATTTCCCTCCTAATTTTGTCCCTGTTATTCATCGCTATGATGTCAATGCCATCATTATGTTGCCACATCACCATCAAAAATAGCAAGTAGAGCTGCATGCCCTGCCAATCAAGTCATGTTCCACTCTGTACCTAACCTGCTTTTCTCCACTAAGATCTCCAGAGTTATTAGAGGAAGCAGAGACCACCAAAGCTGAAGAGACAAAGGGAGGAAAAAACCCCTCCATCACTGGGTTCTCAGAAAAGAAATGAGCCCAGTTAGTCTGTGCATGGTGTAATGGGAAAAGCTAACTTACGGCCTTAAAATCTGCAAGGGAAACTATGATTTTGCCTCGACTGGGATTTGCAGTGTGACTTAATACAAGCATGCTCTTCCATTCCAGCATAAGAATAAAATCATATCTTAACTAGTCTAAAACTATTAAAAAAAAATACCCTTCTTGTCACCTCCACATTAGCTGAATCAACTTAATCAGGCAGTTCTGGAAAAGTAGCATGCTGGCAATAACAATAGAACGAGAGCCAGCTGAATCCTCCATCCATCCAAATATATAGACCAGTGGTTAGATATTTACCTATAGTTGTTGGTGTAACTGAAAATTTTGTAATGAAATTATGGCATTTGTACAAATAAGAAAAGCAGCAGGTGCTTTTGTTGTCAGTTACCTGAGATCAAAGCAAAACACCCCCCCCCTCTTATTCACAACCTGAATCTCTCCTCAAATAATCTGATGATTCTTGCCAGGGCAAGTTTTCTTTACCACGGATTATTTTTCTCATAAAAGAAAATCAAGGTGATTCTACAGCTGAACCGATATAGACAGACAAAAACATGTCTAGTAGGGCCTGTAGCAATAGGACAAGGGGTAATGGTTTTAAATTAAAAAAGGGTAGATTCAGAGTAGATGTAAGGAAGAAATTTTTTATGAGGGTGGTGAAACACTGGAACAGGTTGCCCAGGGAGGTTGGAGATGCCCCCTGCTGGGAAACATTCAAGGTCAGGCTGGACAGGGCTCTGAGCAACCTGATCTAGTTGAAGATGTCCCTGCTCATTGCAAGGGGGTTCGACCAGGTGACCTTTAATGGTCCCTTCCAACCCAAACTATTCTATGATTCTAAGAACATGGAGAAAAAAACCAACATATATATGATTTGATATTCCAAGCCAATTCTAAAAATCCCTGGTAAATGAGAAAGCTTTTTCCTTGAATTTACATGACAAATTTTCTTTTTACAGAAAAATAATTTTTGTAAACAAGTTAAATTCATGATCTGTCAGTGGCAGACAGCCTGGGCGCAAAGTCCCAGTTCGTCTCACCTCCTTCCCCACCCAACACCACTTATAAGCTCACAATATAAACAGGCTCAACACTTGCTCTATAGCAGACAAGACTGAAATGTGTGATTTGTCTAGCAGGACATTTCAAGACCGAAAATGAGTGTTGTTATATATATGATTTTTCAAAAATATCATGAAGGCAGTAATATGGAAATTATCTTATAGTCAGATATGTCAAAAGTGAATGTTTTTAACATATTTTAGATGCATTAGATCCATAACTAAACCTTTCAAAATTCAATGCTGTTTTTCATGTAACTTTAGGCACAAGGTCTGTTTTCCAAGAAAACAGATCAGGTTTGTTAGTGCATTTTAACAGACTTACGGAATATAGGTGATGGTTTGGAAAAACTTTTTAATCCATAGCAAAATATATTCCCATGTATATTTTCCTAAATCACACAACTCTTGAGGATTGAACAGGGAGAAGGTAGAGTTCTCAATGAAGTTGACTATTTCAGTGAATTTAGGATGTACAGCCTTACCGCTGTGATCCAACACGAAGTCATCCTGAGCATATCGGTATTTCTCAGGCCCACATGCAATGAAGACATCATCATCTCCAAAGAAGTCTTGCAAGCATGTCACCTTTACAGCAAAATATACAAAACAAAATAAACAAAGGCAGTACTTTCAAATACTAAATCTTCAGTTAGTTGGCAACGATTAATAAGTTTGTGTTTTCCTCTTCACAGTGATACCATGATGCTCTTTTATAATGGCAGAAACACTTCAGTTCTCAAGTACTTCAGCTTTCCCAGTAGCACAAGAAACCTCAGGGTGAAGAATGTAAAATACGACTGCCCCTCACCTCCAAAAATACCTTGTCTTACATTTAATGCCTGTATTTTTGCCTATAATGACACATATATGCTGATGACTTTGACAAGATCAGCTATGAATACTACTCAAATATCAAAGCTTCTTGTATTCTTACATTAGTTGCTTATGGGAAATTCTGTCAAGTTAAAATGATTGCATCTACAAATTTATTTTTTTATGTTCCAAAGCATTTAATTTCCATGTTTTAATATACTGTTAAAAAATAAATTAATTCCCCCTTCTATTAAAAGGCATTCCATATTCAAGGAAAAAAAAAAGAAATATAGAGTCCCTTCCATGCCCTTTGCAGCTCTCTTTGTTCTTAATTGTCCCAGTAATGATGTTACAATGTATTTCAAAAAGGATGAGGATATCAGAAAGAAAAATGTTTTAGACATTCTTTAAAAACACAAAATCAAAGACCTTGATCACTCCTCCAAAGTCTTTAAAAATCAGCTTGTGAAAGCGTGTCTGCTTTAAAAAAATTAAAACAAAAAATGCCACAACAAGAAATCCCACCCAACTCATTCTAACTTCCTTATGAGGAAAAAAAAAAAAAGTGTTTGTAGATAGTAAGCTATTTTTTAAATGTAAATAGATTAAAATTTTACTGTATAATTGCTTCCCTATTCTTTTTAACATTGCATACCCAAAAGAGATTTGGGAATAAAAGCTATGTAGAACCTAAGAAAGTTAGAACCATTTGGTAAAACCATGTAATTAAAGAGGTAAAACAAAACAACTGCTTTTAGGGAAAACACCTTTTTTCCTTCCCAGATACCTGTCAATACCATTTGCATATTTTACTCACTGTGATAATAGTAAACATTGGCAGAACTATAGGAAGGGGTCTCTACTGCCTGCAGTATTCTGAGAAACACTCAGAATAGCAATGACCCTCAGCTCTCTGCAAGAACACCCACACAGGGCATTCACCAGCAACGCAGTTGTCATGGCAGCTAACCCAGGAATAACGGTGCCCTTACAGCGAGATCCTCATGACAGTGCCACACGCAGTATCCAGCATTTGGGTCACTGTGTTATGCAGCCAAAGCACTCCAGCCGTCACCAAAATCCTTTTATAGTTATCTTACCATTGCAATGACAATCTGCTCTCACTGACGACAGACGTTTTCAGCTGTACTTGAAACAGCTGCTTCTAGTTAACCAAGAGGCAGTAATAACTGGATTCAAAAGGCCGTACAAATTTAAGAGAAGTTTTGCTAACATGGGATTTATTCTTCTCCACTTAATAACTCTCTCTACTAATAAGAGGACTCATTATCACTTCCACAGACTTCAGGAATCCAGCAACCAACCCAAACCCACCACTACAGGAAAAGCCATGAGAAAGCTTTCAGAAAACTCATCCCAGCAGCACTGCTGGACGTGGGCAGAGATGTTCTGCGAGGCACAAATTCACACCCAAAACTGGGTGCCGTTTCCACAAGCTCTGCCTACCCATCACTGCTCTACTCATGCCCCCAGTGCCCTTGCAGTGCTGTTTTGCGCAGGTTAGAGTTAAATGCTGTGGTGTAGCAGAGCCTAAAATTAATCTTTCTGTTCTGATTCAAAGCCCCCCCTCACCCCTTAACCCATCCAGTCTAACATCCGAGCTGAGAGTAACAAAGGACAGAATGACAGGTCTTGTCAGACCCTGGGAAATACACAGGAACATAACCGCATGCAGCAATATCCTGTTGCTGTCTGCAGAGCAATTCTACAAAGGGTGGGTCAGGTCTGTGCACCAAAGGTGACAGGAGTACCCTTAGAAATGCACCTTAAAAATCTTTTCTAAATGGCTCTTGGGGAGGGGAATAAAGAACTTTAAGAAAGGTATTAATTTCCATTGGTGCTTTCCCACATGTTCATGTATATACAGTTTCCCCAGACAAGATTACACAGGAGTGATCGTGAGTACCAGTGATCAGATAAACTGCTAGAGGTGGAGTAATGGCACCTAATGCCAGCCTCTCAGTCTGCTTGCACACTGCGCACCTGACCTGGGTGACTTACACCTGCCACTCACAGACCAAGACAGACTTTAGCTTACTGTAAAATATACTAAAATTCAATTATAACTGGAAGACAGGTAAATACAAGTATGAGAAAGATTTACATAGATGCTCATTATATTCCAGCAGTGAATACTGGAAGTCCTCATTCTCCCTACAAATAGTCTGGACTGGCTACACATAAAATATACAAAAGAAAAAAAAAATACTGAAAAAGCATATTCTGCAAGGAATAAAGATCTGCTAGAACTTACCAATCCCAAATAACCATACATTATGAGGTAAGGGAAGTATTTTTAAAACCAAGTTCATGAAAATCTTCTGTTTTCCTAAAAGTACAATCTAATGGTTATTTTTCTAGGCCTTTATTAAAATAAAGTCAAAGGAGCAGCTCCCAAGGTGCAAACAGATGCTAAAATAAAGAGTCTTCCTTTCCTACAGAATTAAAATTAATGTAATTTTTGGCTCACTTCGTGTGCAAAAAAACTATTAAGGGAAAGATAAAATGAATAAATTGTTTGCATGGGATTTTGAATGCTGCAGGTCCACTGTGGTCTAACTTGCAAATCACATAGTTCTGCTCCGACAAATATCTATACTTCAATCATATAGAAAGGACTCAATCAGTTTAGAAATTTAAAAACAAAAAAAAATTTGAACACATTATTTTTTTTTTAGTTTTATTAGCAGTAGAACTTGTGCATATGAATAGCACGTCAGTCATTCCAGTAACTTAGGGATCAAAATTTCATTTGTCAAACTAGCATATGACAAATGCTGCTTCTCTTTTCACTAAGCATCTGTATTCTCTTACCTATTCTTTATTTTGGTGCTAAAAGAACTGTTCAGTCCTTCAAAATATTTCCTAAAATGCCTTTCAGCGGAAGACGATATTAGCAAAGCTGCATGCAAGTGCACTACAGCAAATAGTCAAATACGTAGTCATTCATTCAAGTAACAACTCTCTTGCTAGTCTTGATGCTGTGAGCTTCCATGCATGAAGTTGACAATATGAATAGCTTTAGACACCTTGAAGAGGTTAAGCAACAAAATGAGATCTGATTTTCAATAGTGTTGAGATGTTTTTTTAGATTGCAGTCCTTAGTTCATTTTTGAGATTCAGATCTGGCCACTTCCCAGATTACATCCACAAAAGCTCTATACAAGTGCTTGGAATGCCTGCTTTCCAACGATGGCCTTGCAGTAAAGCTCAATCAGAATGTCTGTCTCCTGTCTGTGGCTTTAATTACCAAAGGTAATGCACTTTTTTAAAAGAACAAGATGAATGTGATTTGCTTCTCCACAGGAAAAAAAAAAAATTGTTCTATTTTAAATCTGATATTTTTAATGGAGGGCATATGCAGAGCTGCACAAGGAAGATCTTTAGGGTTTATCATTATAGCCGACACTACAAAGGGTTAAACCAAAGGAGCTTCATACTGCCTTGAATTCTTTTTTTTTTTTTTTCTTTTTTCCCTCCATATAGAAAGGTGAAATATATTTTGAAAAACTGCTTTAGGAACACTTTAGAAAAATGTTATCTTGTTAACTCTGGATGTTTCAATTAACATGTTTAAAATGTGTTAAATCCTATTTATTTCTAAATAAAACATCCTTTTCCTAGCCAAACATTGCTTATGTTCTGCTGGTAACTCCACTGCCTTCCCTTTATTTAGAACAAAAAATGACTTATTGATGTTCCTCTGACAACTCAGACTACTACCAGATTGTCTTGTTGCATTGCTTTTGTTCAAAATATGTCACTATACACAACAGAATAGTGCATATTTGGATAGGACTGGACTTGTACTCAGTCCTTTAAAAATACTTCTAATGGCTTAGAATTACAAGCAGGAATACAAGGGAATAGGGAAAAGCAAAAATGTCGTTCAAGAAGTCTCAGAACAAATATAACTGGAAGTCAACATCACATTTTCTTTTTTGTAGGGTCACCCACAGCATTATTGTGTGTCTGTTTCAACAGAATCACCTCACTTGCATTCTCACCATAGCTTTCTAAGACTATGAGTAAATGACTCTGGGCATCACTCCTTCCTGATAGGCTCAAAATGGCTGTGTTCACCATTAGACTAAAGATAGAGGACAACATAATTCAAGCGGCAGCACCACGAGAATTAATTGTAATTGGCTTCAATTGCAAGAAACCCAAACAAGTATGCAAGAGGCTCAATGATCAAATGATTCAAAACTTGAATTGCTTGTTACAAAAAAACCCAGTCTTTTCTCACAAAAAATCCCCCCTTGCCAATTGAGGAAATCTTGGGACATTGAATGGATGAAGTTTTTTGAAAAACACAAAGACCTTTCTAAGAGGGGTACACATTACTATATAGGCATTATGTTACCGAAGTGGTATGACCAACAGTAGTTTGCAAGACCATTAATAGTAAAAGCACTTCAAAATCACACAGCTGGAAGCACAAAAATGTTGTTTACAAGGAGAAAAAAAAGTAAACACAAACTCACAGGAATGGGCAAAAATGCAAGTCAGTATGTGAAAACAGGGTGTTGAAAGGGAAGGGAAAGAAACACATCTATCTGAAAAATCAATTTCCTGATCCTCTGCTGTCTACTAGTGCAATGTTTTAATATCATTTACACCCATCATATTTACCTTTTAAAATAGATTTACATTTCTGTGCTGGTTTTGACTGGGATAGAGTTAATTTTCTTTGTAGTAGCTAGTACAGGGCTACATTTTGGATTTGTGTTGGAAACTGTGTTGATAAC